TATGTGTTTATGCTCAACACTGGTCTCTTTGTTCTCCCAGGAGGGAGCGGTCGGGAGATTCGTGCTGCGGCGACGCGCAGTCACTAGCTGCGATTCCCAGCTAATTGGCTCTAGAAACGTCAATACTTGCACGTTGAATCAATTTTATTCTACCGGTCCCGGTGATACGTATCATGCTTTCGCTGCAGACGCTGAGCGTGTCAGTAGGGAGAGACTTGGTTTGTCGCTTGTCAGCTTCAACAACTGGGGTAGAAGCAGGCGCTGCCTTGAACACACCGTCCTGGCACTCCCCAGCTTTTGCAACGAAAACGGCTGTACATGAACTACTTTCAGTGCCAGTTTTATCACAACTTGTGTTTCCCAACTGACTCCCCTTGTCATTCCCGTTTCAGTTGATTGCTTTTTTTCCAGGACTTCTTCATATGCACAGGATCACGGATGCAATTTATCTTTTCACACCAATCGGAGCTCAAAGCAAAATCGAACGGCAGGCAATCCATGAGAAATGGCCTCTCAGTTATGACAATTATGTGGCTGGCCGTGCAGTTACACAAAATCGAGAAGTGCAGGTGGGGGACGATCGGTCTTCCGATATCTCTGAGAGGTTTCCCATTTTCTAGCTGAAGTAGTCAGAATCGATATTTTTCAGATCATCGCTCTAGCTAGAGATGGAGGTAACATTCTCGAACATCATTATGCTGAGGCGATCTTTAGGCTTGATAGATATATTCAGAAGAGGTACGCAGTTCAAAGTATTTTCCCACGACTGACCCTCTAGTTCCCCCTCCTTTTCCTGGAAAATTTCCACTGCTGCTCACTTTCTAATACCATTTATGATGTAGGTCAGGAGGTTTATATTGCAGCATCAGCGCTAAATAGAGCCATCCCGCCGTCGCGTGCGGTCTAGTGAACTGATTCCTGCGCCGTATTCGCCGCCCAAATGTCAGTTTCCTTGGCGGGCTAATGCCGTTTGGACTCCAGAAATTTCGGCATCGAGCTCATTTTTAAATTGCCTAAGTCACCAAATTGGCTGGAAACTTGTATACAAGGACTTAATCAACATCCTGTTTACGAATATGACATTCATTCTTGTCGCTGGCGCTAATGGATGACCCTACGATTACAGTCCTCATCATTGCGGACCGGTGGGGCGTGGCAGTGCGGCTGCATTTGGTGCGGTTTGGCAAAGTCGTTCTGCACCAGTTTTTGAAGCGAACAAGTGCATTACTGTATAATATCCTTCGTATTACTCGTTTTCTACCACTTTTTTGTCGCACGCTTCTCAACAAAAAGGCTGAGAACGGCTTCAACAGTGTGCGCACTCCTTGCTGGACGTGGACACGCCGCAACCGTCCGCAATGATCGACTCTACCTTCCTGGCGCTCATCCCTAGCAGAGCGCAGATAATCGTAGTGTAATCCATTAGCGCCAGCGAAAAGAGTGAATGTCATATTCGTAATCAGGATGTTAAACTACCCCCTTATATGCCAAATGTTCTTTCAGCGGATTTGGCGATTAGGCAGTCTAAAAATTGAAGCTTGTTGCCCGAGAATTGCTGGAGTCCAAAACGGCAATTAGCCTTTCCCTAGCTGCTTCTGCCGTTACTTGTCCTCGTGCCTCCAAGCTAACTTGTGGCATGTCATCCATCGCTCAGCTCCTCTTTGAAGCGTCTTTTTGATTAGTTCTATTACAGAGTGCGTGTTCTCTACAAGCACCACTATTACTCCTATCACGACCTATGCCTCCAATATAAAGAGTGAGTTGCCATATTCCCATGCTAACTCAGATAAATCGAGTTTTGTGAGTTGTTTCTGTGTCCGGAGGATAATGGAATGGCCCTGCGAACAAACATATCATCGATGCTGTCGGATGCTCTTAGCAACCATGGTTTCAACATCACGTTCCCTACTCGCTTCGGAACCGAGTGGGTTGAAAGTTCATTTTCTCTTGAGATCAAACTTTTTGCTACTTACGTGAATGTACTCTTGTGCTGCATGTCAGAAATAGTTGCTTGCCCACGGCTGCCCAAGTTGGATGTTCAGTTGTTATGAGGGAGTTCCCGTAGCGCGCAACTTTGTGGCTCCTTTTCTGCTCGTGTGCACTATCCCGACCATGATAAGAAGATACCGTCCAGTGATCTCTTCCTCCGCCGCGCTCAGTCTTGGAGAGCTTGGGCGAATACAGTGGGCGCGGGAAGCGACCTAGTCTCTCCGGCGCTGCCCCTTCCAACCAGCTTAGCCTCGCCAGACCCGCGTGGATATAGTAAATGCCCCAAAAGTCAGCTGCAGTCAGCTGTTTTTTTACATGACTCAAAAATTTATTACCTAACATACTGCAAGCATGTAATGTCATCAGCGTTGAAGGGTTACAAGGGATGTAGAGGGCTCAAGTCCACGTAGGTCGCTTGGGCGGAGGCAGTTATAGCTCGCCCACTGGTGCGCCTTTCATCTTTGGAGGGACCCACAAATGAATAGAGCATAATTAAAGAGCTGTCTTCACTGAAAAAATAATCGTGGGCTGTGCCTCAAAAGAAGATATAGCTAAAGGTAAAATCAGCAGTAAAATACATTGTAGGTCTATGTCGAGTGATCAGAAGCAAACCATCAGAGGTATCTGCCCCTTTACAACCCCCTTAATGATCAGTTATTCCTCTGTCAACCTTGTGCGCTTGCTTGGAATTTTTTTGTTCCGCTGTTATAATACTTGCTATGAGAGCCAGCCTTTATTGTCTTCTCGCTTACCAAAAATGTACTTCAGAGGTGGATATCTGGGTGGAGCGCTGGGCGGAGTCAAGCTCATGAAGACCGAAAATGGATCCAGCATTCTTGCGAGTGCCCAGGCCTGGTTCATGATTTATCACTTGAAATTCTTCCCAACAGAGACCAGCTATATCTCAGGACTTTGGGAAAATGTAAGGTTAAATTTAATTCAATACAACTTTTGGTGGAAATCTATACTTTTGAGGAACTCGGACGACATCTCGCTGCCTATCCAGAGGATCCGTACATAAAGTTCACATACTTTCATTCACAGACATTAGCTGATGAACTGCAAAGGAATGCTGACTCACTGTGTTAGTACCAACTTGTGGAGCTTATTCTTTCCGGAAATTAGCTCGCAAATATTATATGATTAATCGATATTTTTTCAGTGCCTCGTTTTATCTTAGCCTTTATTCTTTTGG